TCGGGGAGCTGGGGGTGGGGTGAGCGGGACTGGCCAGGGGAGCCCAGGACCTCGGGGAGCTGGGGGGGGGGTGAGCTGCGGCGTGGACTCAAGTCGGGTGAGACAGGCCCGCGGCGGCTGCCGTGCCCTCCGAGCCCCCCCCTGCCCTCCCCGCCCTGGGACGCCCGTGTCTGACGCGTTCCCGGAGCTCGAGGCCTGGGCTGATCTTGGGAAAGACGCTCATCCTGAGTCTTTCCGCTCCCCCCGCCCGGGACCCAGCCGGGCGCCCAGCAGCAGGGCGCCGCCTTTCTGTTCCTTGGGATTGGGGTGGGGCTGGGACCAGAGGTGGGCCTTCACGCAGGCCGGCCCCTGCGTGCCCAGCGAGCGTGCCCCCCGCCCCTCCCACGCCACCCACGAGCCCCCACATCCCTGGGACGCACAGAGCGGCCGTCAAACCCGCGCTGGCCCGGCCGCGCACCGCCCGCTCCGTGGAAGGCGGTGGGCTCGCTCGCCCGTCCCCTGGGGAGACGTGAGGGCAGGAGGACCGGCAGTGAGGCCACCCGCCCGCGGCGAGAGCCCGTCTCAACCTGCGTGCCCCGCGGCCCCGTGCGGCCGCACGCCGCACTGAGCCACCGCACTGAGCCACGGTGTGCTAGTGAGAGCCCGTCTCGACCTGCGTGCCCCGCGGCCCCGTGCGGCCGGCACCCCGCACTGAGCCACGGTGTGCTTGTGGTGCTGCCTGCGCCTGCGCCTTCCGCGCGTGGGCCGGCCGGCTCCCCACGGCGCTCACCGAAGGGCGCGATGATGGGGCAGGTGATGCTGTAGGCCATGATGACACTGACAACGCACAGCATCCACGCGTACATGGCGCCGAACTCGAACTCGAAGGCCTGGTTCTGGGAGGGGTGAAGAACTCACGGTCAGGTTCCCCCTCCCGTCCCCCCCCCCCGTGTGCCATGGGGGGGGTGAGGAGGCAGACTGGGACCCCGCTCCCCGGCAATCCCCCCAGCTCTGCCTCTGGTCCTGCCCACCCCTCCCCGGCCAGTTCCCACTCTGAGATGCGACCGGACCCGGCCTCCACGACCCGGGCGGGCCTCTGCGGATAGACCCCGGGGGCTGGGCAGGCTGCGGCTGGCCCGCCCGTCACCCGGACGCTGCCCGGTCCAGGGGTGGGGGATGAGCACGGGCCTGGGCATCTGAGCTCCTGGGCAGCACGGACGCCAGGGAGGCGCTGCGGGCTGGCTCACAGGAACAGGGGGCGCAGCCAGGGCCTGAACCTCACTTGAGCCACGCATTAGCTCGGGAGGCACAGGGTTTTGTCGTGCGTATATGTGTGTGTTCGGTGCCTCAACCTGTGAGCACCGTGGACGGGCAGGAGGGCCGGCCGGGCCTCCGCAAACAGCCAGCCCTGGGGGGTGCCCTGGGGGGTGTCTTGGGGGTGTCTTGGGGGGTGGCATCCTGGAGCTGTTGTCCTGGTTGGAGCTGGTGCCCCGGGAGGTGCCCTGGGGAGCCCGCACCTGCTTGACGTTCCTGCGGTCGGCGGCCGTCTTGGCCATGAGCATGCGGACGGTGTAGAGGACGAGGCCCGGCAGGCGCAGCAGCTCCATGCCATTGCCGATGAAGGCCGAGGCGATGACGTAGTTCACGAAGAAGGCGCCCTGGTCCGGCAGGAAGACGCACCTGGAGGGCGGAACGTGAGCCAGAGCCGTGGGGCCCCACCCGGGAGTGGACGGTGCTCCCTGAGGGCCCGGCTCTCCTCACCCCCGTCCACGCAGGGAGCGAATGGTGCTCCCCACCGAGGCCCGTCCTCACCCCCGTCCACGCGGGGAGAGCGCACGGTGCTCCCTGAGGGCCCGGCTCTCCTCACCCCCATCCACGCGGGGAGCGGATGGTGCTCCCCACCGAGGCCCGTCCTCACCCCCCCGTCCACGCAGGGAGCGGACGATGCTCCCCACCGAGGCTCATCCTCACCCCCCCTCCGTCCACGCGAGGAGAGCGGACGGTGCTCCCCACCGAGGCCCGTCCTCACCCCCCGCCACGCAGGGAGCGGACGATGCTCCCCACCGAGGTCCGTCCTCACCCCCCCCATCCACGCGGGGAGCGGACGGTGCTCCCCACCGAGGCCCGTCCTCACCCCCCCATCCACGCAGGGAGCGGACGATGCTCCCCACCGAGGCTCATCCTCACCCCCGTCCACGCGAGGAGAGTGGACGGTGCTCCCCACCGAGGCCCGTCCTCACCCCCCCCCGTCCACACAGGGAGCGGATGGTGCTCCCCACCGAGGCCCGTCCTCACCCCCCCC